TTGTTTGTTTGTTTGTTTTTTCTAACCTATAGAAATTTTGTGGAAGTGGTAAGGCATACAGTTCAGTCTTGTATGCTAGTGACTCAGTCTACAGGAATAGGGCAATTACATATTAACTAGAAATATGATTGACTCAACTTCATGCCATGTGTATGGCCATGTGAGCAGATGGGGACGGCCGTGTTGTCTGAAAGTCTGCCTCTGGCATGAAAGGGGGGCACAGGAGAGCCAATCTGAGGAGGAGAAATGTGTCCCTTTTATTTAATCCTTGGGAATAATACCTCCGTATATTTATCTTACACTTGATTTCATGGGTGTGCTCCTCCAGTTTTAACTAACTTACCTTTGGTCCAGTCAGATGCTCAACAAGTAGGACTGTCCAAAGTTAATCCTGCTGTGTGACAACCCAGCGCCAAAACCAACTGTAAGTGCAGAAGACCTTTTTCAGAATTATTCAAGGAGAGGGGAATTTATGTTGCTCAAGGAAACTGAGCTACCTGAGAAAGAACATCTTCCCATGGATACTTTGGTGTTTTTTCTACCCTTGCCTTACAGAGAGGTTAACTCCCTGAAAAGATACAGACAACCTTAGAGGCCCTGCAAGGGGAGACCAGGCAAGCCATTAAAAAGGCCTGGAGAGGGAAAAACAGTGGAGTTTTTTTATGCTCACTGTAGGTAGAACTGTCATGTTAGTGTTCTTGACTTGCAGAAATAAATTTTCCTAAATCCTTCTGCTGCCTGGTATATGGGCTACCTGCTTTTCCTTTTTGTTTACTTACACCTTGGGTATTTGAAACCATGTTTGCTATTTTAATCAAGGTCCTGCCAGGATGGTTTACTAATCCATGTACAAATGGCCATGTTGTAATGCTGGAAAACCATATTCTGCAACCAAAAAAAGGTAAATCATTTAATGTTGTTAATTTCTTGTTCCCTTATGGCCTTATCTGCAGTGAACTTACTGTCTTATTCTCCTTCCCTGAGCCTTGTTTACTTCTCCTCTGACCTGAGATCTTGTCTCAGGAATTCCTGTCACAGTCCAAATTCCAATGTCAAGAGGCGTTTTTGGTGGTCACAAACAGCAAACAGGCAGTTGCTTCCTTGCAGTTTGAGAAAAAGCCTTTCTATGATTTTGAGAATGTTTAAGGCATTAATAACATTTCAGTTTCTCATGTCATCCTGTCTTAAACATTGTACCTAAGGACCTGAGTTCAGGGGTTGTCCATGGAGATGATACATACATATAGAAATAATAATGCGAGTAATCATACAGTGTACAATAGATATCACAATTACCAAGAATATAAACCCAATTGCAATCATCGACCTAATCCTCATTAGCTATCGCCCCAATCTCTAGTCAGTTTTTACAAGTGAGCAGAGTTCAGTTTTAGCTTCCTCTGTCTCTCTGCTGAGACAAGGGCAGCACGCCAATTAACTTTTATCTCCTTTCTTCACAGCCTCTTCTGGAGTAGTTTGCTATAAGACTCCGTTTTATGTTTGTACTGCACAAGAACAAACACAGTCTATCCAGTAGAAGGAAGATTTTCAGTAACACGGAGCTGTTCTTGAACTAAAAATTCTCCATCATAAAAAGTTGCCTCCTTAAAAACTTGATGGAATACACAAAATACAAACAAAATGTACCATACCCACAAACCAAAAACACCATCACCTTACACCAGAAGTTATTATTATTTGTCCCACTGTAATTTACAAGCAGAGATTATTAAATTGATTTTTAAATACTTCTCATGAGAATCTGAAAAACTTAATACTTTACTTAAATGGTGCATTAATTAACGTCTAAACAACCTGACATAACCTGGGGCATTTAATTTTAAAGTTAGCAGCAGACAGATTAGTTTAATTTTCACCCTCCAAATTGTACTTTGCCTTCAAAGGTACAAATTATAGTTGAATTCTGACCTAAAGCATTAAGCAAGATCACCTAAGACTTCATGGTGAGACTGTTCGGAAAAAAAAAACCACAGTTCTGGTATTAAGAGCATCAAAATAACCAAGAGACAGAGGAGCTAAGTAAAACTTTTATTCCAATAAAAGGGAGAGTTCACTGGACAATCCCCAATGAGATCTCTCAACTCGATAAAGGTCGAAACCTCTTTTATTCCCTTTACCTGAAAGACAGGTCCCTCCCCATTTCCCCATTGGCTGAGGTACTCTGGGGTTACAGACTTTCTGACACACTTTACTATACTGTGCAACTATCTAACTAATAACTTCTTTATCCTACTACTAAGTTAACTCTGACTATTACAAACTTGGAAAGAATGCTTTATTTATTCCTAATAAGACCTTATTTCAGTTTAAACAACCAACAATTCCAGACTTAGAAGTTCTCTTCTTTTTCCAGGTGGCAGCTGGGAAGAACTGGATAAAAATTTGCAATGCATTGTTGTAGTAGTCAGGACGACTGAAAGAATAAAAGCCAGGCACAGTATGATGCTGATCCAAAAGTCTACTTTATTGCTTAGTTCAGTCTTACTTATACACACTCTGCTAACAGAACCTTATATACCTTTCTATTAATAACTCTCTATCTATGGTCTATTATTAGTCTTTACACACAATTGGACATTCACACCTTATTTACATTCTTCTCTCACTGGTCAGTTTTGGCACCTTCTCAAGTCTTTCACTGCTCCTGTGAATTCCTCAGGGAAATGGCTTCAAAGTGTCTAAGTCAAAATCCTCCACCCCTATATCCTTCATCAGGGGGTCTGCAGACCCGCCGCCTACCCCAACAATGCATAGTTTAACAAAGCATTTGATACACTTTATATATGCTTTTTCTTCCTTTTTGGTTAGGAAAATGCAGCTATGAAGCACTTTGCATGCCCCCGATACCTTGAACTCAACTCTATTTTCTCTTAACAAACTAAGTTGTTGGAGTTACACAGAATCAAAGCTCCATTCTGCTATGTCTTCCCCCCTTTCCCCGCTCAACCGTGCCCCCCTGCTGCTTGCCAGGACCCCGCAGCGTGGCAGCGAGGAGACTGTGGCCAGGTTTCCACCCCCTCTTGTGGTAACCTCCCTCCCGCCTTCTCAGTAGCTTCAAAGAGGACAGAGGTTCTCTCTTCACAAGGAGCCACATGCAGAAGACAAGGGACAATGGGCACAAGTTGCACCTGTCCCCATCACTGGAGGTTTTCAAGATGCAATTGGACAGGGTGCTAGATAATACCATCAAGGCTTACTTTCCCACAAAAGGCTGGACCAGATGATCTTTCAAGGTCCCTTCCCACCTGGGCTGCTCTAGAATTCTACAATTCTCCAGTGTATCATGGTTTGACAACCCTTGGCTTTCTCATCCTTGGGGCAAAGTATTGGCAATGTTGCCTGCAAGGCAAGACATAAAATTCCACCAGACGCCACAGACTTCTAAAACCTATGGTTATCCCCTGTCTCTTGGAATGTATAAGCCATACCTAGCTGCCATACCCAGCTGCCATACCCTGCCAGAACGCCTTCTAGGTACCTTAGTGAGTATACATAGGTAGAATAATAGATGTCACCTACCTCAACCGTTCAGTAAGCAAACACTGCTCCAGTGCAGTTTCCATCTCTTTCAGGTAAATCATTTCCATCTCCTGGGGATGATTAAATAAAGGTGAAGTCCTCAGGTTACTTACTTATATGCCCTCATCACCAAACTTCACCTCATCGCTTGGGGATATTGAAGAGATGAGGCCTTTCAGTGGGTGCCTCAGATGCCTCAGGAATGAAAGAAAGAATTATTCTCCCTCACCTTCACAGATTATTCTGAGTTGGAAGGGACCCACAAGGATCATTGAGTCCAAATCTTAAGTGAATGGCCTATGCAGGGATCAAGCCCACAAGCTTGGTGTTATTAGCACCATGCTCTAACCAACTGAACTATTGTATTTTTACACTCTTTTCCAATGGGGTCCTTCCTGTGAAGGTGCTCCACAGGGATAAGCCCCTGCTGAGAGTAACTCATGGTCCACGGGATCAAGCCTGTTTTAAATAACCTGCACATACAAACATGTTTCAGAACTAGGACCAAATAACTTAGTGTTAAAGGGTAACGAAGGACCGTCCTGTTTTCCTACACCCATCTCCCTTTTTTAAGAGCTGTTAAAGCAAGATGCAGTTTGCTGTCTCCCTGTGATGCAATTTTGGCTTGGGTCTGGTTGGGATGGAAGTAACTTTCCCCATAGCAGCCCTCGTAGTGCTGTGCTTTGCAGTTCTAGCTAGAAGGGTGTTGACAACACACCAGTGTTTCGGCTACTGTGGAGCACTGCCCTCACAGCATGGAGGTTGTCTCTACAACCACCGCCATCCCCACAGTCCAGTAAGCTGGAGGTAGACAAGAGGTTGGGAGGGGACAGAGTCAGGACAGCTGACCCAAATTGACAAAAGAGAGATTCCATTGTGCTATGGAAGCACCACAGCTACCAGTCAGACCAATTGTTTTCTCCTACCATATCCCTCCTCAGCAGAAAAGGGATATCAAGGGGGCCTTATCACACAGCCATTGATAAAGAACTCCCATGGGAGTCAGATGCTTCCAACACATTGCAGCTACAAAGAGGACAGAGGCTCTCTCTTCACAAGGAGCCACACGCAGAAGACTCAACAGGAGAGTCTCCCTTATTCAGTAGGATGGTAATTGGTATCACTGCCAAAAAGCTAAGACTTTGCTTCCTACAAGGCGCAGGGGACTGCTAAGCGCTTGCAGTGTCACGCTTCAAATGACCAGGCAAATCTGTCTATGGAATGCTGTTAACAGGCTGAAACGTTCCACATACTTGCACTCCCGGGAGACACTGTTTGAACTTGCAGAACTATTTCCCTTCAGTAAGACACGCAAGACGGAGATGATATCCCCATGCTAAATCTTTATTGTGCAACTGCTGCTCAAAGCTTTTATTACCTTCCGCAGACACACGTCACAAAAACTTGCACATCGACAGCGGCTAGATTGACGGGCAACAGATGAAATCCATTCAGTGGCCATTTGTACACGTGCGGCAACTCCTGCAGTGCAAAACTCTTAGCCGGGCGGCCAGCCCAACTGACGGCCACCCAGAACACGTAGATGTATGCGATACACAGACTGCCCACCCTCGGGCCCTTCGTCCACAACCATGGCCTTAGGTAGCCAGTCCGGGTCCACTCGTCGTGCGAAGAGCGGTTGTTGGTAATGTGCGGGTTCTTCGACCTCTTCCTTCGTGTGTGGGTTAAATAAAATAAAATAAACCAAAACGGAACACACAAACACGGGAGAGGGCAGGAAGGGAAGGAATGAGAGCAGAGAACCACCCAGAGAAAGCAGCTAGCCAATTCCTCGCAATTCAACCATTGCGCTTCGAATTACTGCTCCTCCGCCCGCCTGCAACCCACGTTTGCCAAGCAAAGCTACAACGACCGATTAGGAACACCATAGGGGGGAAAAAAGAGCTAGGAAGGTTTTTTTACAAGCTAGACAGGAACGGACTACAAAACACACACAGAAGCTGACTTGGTCTCCGGGTTAAAGTCTCCGTTCTACCTTCAGGCAACATAAGCAATCCTGGCGGAAAATAAACTTTAGGCTGTCGTTTGCGCGGGTTTACAAAGTCTTTGAACTTGACGTTCGTAGCTAAAAGCAAAGCAGCCAGCACCTCTCAACCACCTTTGCCCTTCCTCACCCCTGACCCGCCAAAAACCACAAGCCCTCTTCTCCGTGTTAGAAGAAGTACTACTACTCTTACTCTAAACCATGACAATAGGCACCAGACCGCGCTCCAAGACAACACTGCATTTTGCACCACAAGTACATACCCAGGGATGAGCATTGCTTTAGATCACTGTTTTTAGTCAAAAAGCTCAACTCCATCACAAGCTAGAGGCAAAAGATTTTAGCGCCAGAAAACCCAAAGTCGCCTACTGTGCCCTATCAGGAGGGAAAGACGGGATGGGAAGGAGTCTAGTAAATGAGGAACTAACTACAGGTACAGTTTAGCGTACAGAAAGCTCCCACAGTACTTACAGATTCCCCAGAATCTTCTGCTTCAGATAACCCGATAACTGGCTCCTTAGGCATGACTAGGAAAAGCGTCGCAGCTTGGGGTGAAAGATCGTGGAACGCGAGGCACTGGAGGAAGAGTAAACAGTTAAAACGTAACCGGCTTCAGAGAAAGGTAATGGCTTAAGCAAATCCAGCTGCCCCACTGAACTCCTACAGAAGCAGATTGCCAGGTACCCCAAACACAAGCCGGAACGTNGATGTATGCGATACACAGACTGCCCACCCTCGGGCCCTTCGTCCACAACCATCCGGAATCCATCGGTCAGGCCCAGGTGAGCAGCACGCTTCTCGCCAACAACCATTACACGCCCAAGAAGCTGGAGAAGGAAGCACACACCCATAAATAAAATAAAATAAACCAAAACGGAACACACAAACACGGGAGAGGGCAGGAAGGGAAGGAATGAGAGCAGAGAACCACCCAGAGAAAGCAGCTAGCCAATTCCTTGCAATTCAACCATTGCGCTTCGAATTACTGCTCCTCCGCCCGCCTGCAACCCACGTTTGCCAAGTAAAACTACAACGACCGATTAGGAACACCATGGGGGAAAAAAGAGCTAGGAAGGTTTTTTTCAAGATAGACAGGAATGGACTACAAAACACACACAGAAGCTGACTTGGTCTCCAGGTTAAAGCCTCCATTCTACCTTCAGGCAACATAAACAATCCTGGTAGAAAATAAACTTTAGATTGCCATTTGCACGGGTTTACAAAGTCTTTGAACTTGACGTTCACAGTTAAAAGCAAAGCAGCCAGCACCTCTCAACCACCTTTGCCCTTCCTCGCCCCTGACCTTTTCCTATGGGAAAGAACTGTCATTCTGTTTCAGAAGATTACCTCCAAAATTGAAATTCCACCTCTTACAGTAAGTACATCCAAGCATTGCTCCCAGAAAGAAAGGTAACAGGACAGAAAGTTTTTGGTGCTTAACACCTGAGCCGGGCAACTGGTCACAACAGTCTTTTTCTTTCAAGATGTTATATCCGAAATGTCGATTCCACCTCCAAAATTGCATACGTTCAAGGATTGCTCCCAAACAAAAGGCGTCAGGAAAGGAAAATCATTCTGGTTATTACCTGCCCTGGACACCCAAACATCTGCCCCTGAAAGACTGGAGCTACGTGCTTTCCTTACTGTGAAAAAGAACTGTTTTTCTCTTTTAGGAGACCACCACCCAAATTTCTATTTTGTCTCCAGAATTGAATACATGCAATGATTGCTCCCATGCAAAAGGGGCCAGGGCATAAAGGTCTTTCTGTTTATTTTCTGCCCTTTGCACCCTATCGTCTGTGCCTCATACCAGTACTGCATCTATGTGCTTTCTTTCCTATGGCAAAGAACCGGTTTTCTCTTTCAGGAGACCACCACCCAAATTTTTATTCCCCCTTCAAAACTGATTATGTTCAAGGATTGGTTCCAGACAAAAGATGCCAAGACATAAAGGTCTTCCTGGTTTTTACTTGCCCTGGACCTCCTTTCATCTGCCCCTCATACACTGGGGCTACATGCTTTCCTTGCTATGGGAAAGAACCGTCATTTTCTCTCAGGACACCACCACCGAAATGTCCATTTCACCTCCAAAACTGATTATATGAAGTGATTGCTCCCAGACAAAAGTTCCAGGGCAGAAAGGACTTGCTGCTTATTTACCTGCTCTGGGCAGCCTATAATCTGCCCCTGAAACACTGGGGCTGTATACTTTCCTTCCTATGGGAAAGTACTGTCTAACTTCTGGGAGACCACCACAGTAATGTTGGTTCCACCTCCAAAACTGATTATGTCTAGGGATATCTCGCAGGCAAAAGGTGCCAGGACAGAAAGGTCTTTCTGGTTAATGCCTGCCCTGGGCAGCCTATCATCTGACCCTAACACACTGGGTCCATGTGCTTTCTTTTTTATGGGAAAGAACCATCATTGTCTTTCAGGAGACCACCACTGAAATTTCGATTCCACTTCCAAAATTGAATATGTTCAATGGTTACTCCCAGGCAAAAGGTCATAGGACATGGAGATTGTTGTAGTTATTAGTACCCTGGGCACCCTTTCATCCCCCCTTGAAACACTGGGGCTATCTACTGTGAGACTCCAAATCCCACTAAATAATTTTAATTGCCTCGGAACAAACTCTGTGTGTGTTGGGGGAGGTCAGTGTCCACATGGTGAGGTCTGTCATGGAATGCACATGGCCTGCAGCCTCATGGAGGTATCGGAAACCACATGGAAGAGCTGCCAATCAAAAGGCCCACCTGGTAACCTGCCCACACCACTCCTCCTTGAGCCTCAGATTGGCTGCACCACCCTCACTCTAGCCTGGAGGGCAACTGAGTGGTCAATGAGCCAGACATCCCACTTGGGAGAGGTGGTCACGGGACCCAAAGCACAGGAATACAGGAGCACATGAGCTCCATCTTCCTTTTTCTCTCAAGATCTGCCATTGCCATGTGAAGCCCAAGACTTCTTTAGGACTCTTTGGTGGTAGCTATGTAATTCTTTTATTCCAATCTCTTTCTTTAGTCTTAATCACCTTTCTTTTTCTACTCTTTACTCTTAACTTCTTTTGTCTAACTTTAAACTGATGGGTTGTATTTTACTAAGTGTTCTGGGTGCTTTAGTGAAATACTTCTGTCTTGGTTGTATGTTACTCCTGTAAAACATTTACCAAAATGCCTATTTTCTTACTAAATTAAAAGAATTCTCTTTATGCAACCTCAATGTATTAAAGAACTAAAAGGCTTGGAAAAAATCGGTGGTAAATTATTTTAGAGCCTTAAATATAAGCAAAATGTCTGGACAGTGCGTACCTTGACCCAGGACTTTACATGTACTTTCCTTCCTATGGGAAAAAACTGTCATTCTCTTTTGATAGATCACAACCAAAATTTTGATTCCACCTCCAAAATTGATTATGTCAAGGGACTGCTCCCAGGGAAAAGGTGTTAGCATAGAAAGGTCTTGGTGGTTATTACCTGCCCTGGTCAGCCTATAATCTGCCCCTGAAACACCGGGGCTGTGTGCTTTCCTCCATATGGGAAAGATCTGTCATCGCCTTCTGGTAGACCACAACTACAATTTTGGTTCCACCTCCAAAATTGATTATGTCAAGGGATTCCTCCCAGGCAAAAGGTACCAGGACAGGAAGGACTTGCTGGTTATTACCTCCCCCGGTCAACCTATTATATGCCCCTGAAACACTTGGTCTATATGCTTTCCTTCCTGTGGGAAAAAATTGACTTTAAAGAGACTACCACCAAAATTTCAATTCCACCTTGAAAGTTGAATACGTCCAAGGCTTGCTCCCAGGGAAAAGGTGGCAGGACAGCAAGGGCTTCTTTGTTATTACTGCCCTTGTCAGCCTATTATCTACCTCTGAAACACTGAGGTTACATGCTTTCTTTCCTATGGGAAAGAACTGTCATTCTCTTTTGGGAGACCACCACCAAAATTTCAATTCCACCTCCAAAACTGAGTATGTCAAGTCTTATGTCTCCCAGACAGAAGGTGTCAAGATAGAAATGTCTTACTGGTTAATAACTGACCTGGGCATGCCATTATCTACCTCTGAAACACTGGGGCTATGTACTTTTCTTGCTATGTAGGTCTTCTGAAAGTGAATAATGGTTCTTTCCCATTGGAAATTAATACATCCAAGGATTGCTCTCCAGTAAAAGGTGCCAGGACAGAAAGGTCTTGCTGGGTATTACCTGCCATGGGCAACCTATCATCTGCCACTGAAACACCATGGCTATATGCTTTCCTTCCTATTGGAAAGAACCATCATTCTCTTTTGGAGGAACACCACCTCAATTTTAATTCCAACTCCTAAACTGATTACATCAAAGGAAAGGTCCCAGGCAAAAGGTTCTAAGACAAAAGGGTCTTGCTGGTTAATACCTGGCCTAGGCAGCCTATCATCTGCCTCTGAAACACCATGGCTATGAGCTTTCCTTCCTATGGGAAAGTACTGTTATTCTCTTTCAAACTAAGGAAGCTGAAGAGGAGTCTGAACAATGCCCAAGGAGCCTGCTAGACCTCTCACACAGAAGAGCAAGAACGAGATGGACACTTTGGCGTCTGCAAGACTTGAAAGTGTGTGATGCATCAAACTGCTTCTGTCGAATCGTGTCAGTGCCTTGCACATTCCTTCTCAGCTCTTCGGACTACCCCATTCTGTCACTCTTGCAGTGTGCATCTAAACTGAAAAGTTTCCAGCTACAGTTAGCACAGAGAAATGTGCCTGGAGAAAAGTTTACTCAGACTCCTGCTCTGCACTTCTCACCTCTATCATCACACACTGTCCGTCTTGCAATGCCTAAGGAGCCTGCTATAACTCTCGCACAGAAGAGCAAGAGAGAGATGGGCACTTTGGCCTCTCTGACACTTGAAACTGTGTGATGATACATATATCCTAGAAAAAAAAGTGCAGAGTACACTGGGATGTGTGCGGTGTTGTCCCAGTTTAAATGAGACAAGGGTCTTTTACTGAGGATGAGTTAGGAGAAAAGACCCAAACTTCTCTTTCTAAGCAATTATAAATCCAAAATTAAGAGGTTCCAATTGAAGGAAAACAAATTATGGAAAAGGGAAAATAACAACCCTTTATTAAAAGGTATGTGTATATTAACAGAAACACGGAAAAAACCAAGTCAAACAACCAAGCAATACTCCTATACCCACCAATAATCCCCTTCAAGAACAAACTGATAAACCAGCAAAAGGAAAAATAAACAGTTCCATTTTTGCACCCTTTGGTGCAGTTCCAACCACAGTCAGCAGGGGGCGCCGTCGGGTCACTGGAGATGCAAAACTTGTAATGTCCTGTACTATTCACCAGGCGGCACTGTTGGATCACTGGAGGTGTAGAACTTGTAATGTCTGGTGCCCGTCACCAGGCGGCGCTGTGAGATCCCTGGTTGCCACCACGTGGGATGGGGGAAGGGGGGAAAAGAACACCCTCCAGGGTATGTCAGAGAAAAAAAACCCAAAAAAACAAACAAACAAACAAACAAAAACCAACACAC